ATGTCTCCTTCAGGAGAGAGGCCCCAAGCTTCAGACATGAGGGCTGGAGCTCCAGCAGCCATCCTGGACCTTGAGGGTAAGGGTCAGGGGAGCAGAGAGCTGAAGAAGGCTTGTTGTCTAAGGACATCCAAGCCACGCAGCTCCCCGGGCCCCGGTTACTGTGGCTGCCTTCATCGGGAGCCGGGGGTGTGTGGCTTCCATCTCATTTCAGCTACACCACTTGGGAAGTTCCTGGATGCTTTTTCTCACAGACACATCCTCTGTGAACATTCGGCCACTTGGCAGGGGACAGACTGGCCTCCCAAAGGCAGAGCACCTGTCACCCTGGAAAAGGTGCGTGAAGACGGCGCTGGAGCCTGCCTCCTGCCCCCAACTCCAGCCAGAGGGCGACCAAAGTGTCGGGCAAAAGCCTTCACACTCGGGGGACACACGGCTCCCTCCACCCGCATCCCCCAGCGCGGAGAACAGCTCCCACTTCCCATAGGCCTCGCTGCTGACCCTCATAGCTGGCCTTGGCACTCCCAGAAACAGGCGAGGCGTGGAAGCTCCCAGAATGGAAGCTCCTGGCCCCAGGGCCCTCAGCTAGGAAGTCAGGGACCTGGCACTCAAACCCGGTCTGTGCCAGTGCCAGCTGGGGCCCATCCACACACACACCCACCCCCGGGGCACCTCAGCCCCCCACCCCCATCCCCACCCCCACGTCCCAGCAGAGCCCAGCAGGGAGGCAGGGTGTCGGCTCCGAGTCTCCCTCTAGCCCGAGGCAGCCCCACTGAGATCCAGCCTCGGGGCAGGTCTGCGTAAGCCAGCCCGGGTGCTTGGATGTTTTCTGGCCCGGGTTTCCCTAATTCTGGTGGTGATGAGCTGCCTGATAAAATTATGCTAAGTTATGTGCATAGAGAGTAGCAGCTTCGACTCCGATTCCCGGCCGGGCTTTGAAGAATCCCTGTGCGGTTTCCAGCACAATCAACTCACCTCTTTCCTGGGCCTGATTAGCTCTCGGAGCCCCCTGGAGCCCCCACTGCCAGCCCCACGCGCATCGGCAGGGCTCTGGATGTCGTTAGCTACTCCAATTGCCTTTTTAAAAATCTGTTTCACATCAAAGGACAAATGAGAACGCGGATTTGCCCATCTTTAAGACACTAACTACATTCTTTGCCACAGCTGTTATTATTCTTCCTTTCTTCGGCAGGAACCCGAAGCCAGCCTGGGTTCCCGCAGTCCACGGCAGCTCAAGGCTCCGTCTTGGAAATCTGACCCCAGTGGGCACATTCGGGAAACGTGGCGGCTTCGAACATGACCCAGTTCATTTTTCTCTACCTACTCTTCCTGCGGCCGCGCCTGCGGGCTCCCGCCGCGGGCTCCTCTGCCAACGCCCGTCCCCCACCCCCCATGCTACAGGGCTGAAGGGAGACCCTTCGCTCTCCCTAGCAACAAGCAACTGCCCTCGAGGACGGGCCGCTTCTGCCTGTCACTGGTCGGTCAGCGTGGCCAATGCGCGCACAAGCAGACTGAAGGGCGGGGCACGGCAGTGGCTGGGTTCTGGTGCGTGGGCGTTCACTTGAGCCTTTTGGAACACTGGGCGGGGATGGGTCAGCGAAGAAAGGGTGAAGGGAGGGAGAAAAATGGGGCCTCGGACTCAGCTCAGGGGCAGGGGGCCCCTCCAATCACACCTGCCTGCTGCTGCAGGTGCTATGGGGCTCCCAGGCCTGAAGGCCAAGGCCTGTGGTCCTGTCCGTCTCCTGAGCTCCCTCACTCACCTTCAGCCATGTGCCCCTGCAACACGCCCAGCCCCTCCTACCCCAGGGCCTTTACACGTCCCCTGGCCTGAATGCTACTGCCTCCGACCTCTCCACGGCTCCCTCCTCTCATGTCTCAGGACCCTTCTCCCACTCCCATCACTTGCTCCACCCCCTCCTTCCCTGGCTGCCCCCCTGCCTCTGGTTAGCAGGCCTCACCTCCTGTGGCCATCAGGGTCTGTGTGCGGGCTGACTCTCTCTCTCCCACTCACACACATACAAGAGGACAGCCACCAGGAGGGCAGGAGCTCTGCCTGTCTGCTCTCTGCCGTCCCTCCGGCCCCAAGCAGGTGCACTGGGTGGGCGTCTGGCACAGGGTGGGGGTGGGTCAGTGACGAGGCCATGCTGCGTGGGAGCCCCCCCACATGCGAGTGTGTGGGTTCTCAGTCCAGTCTCAGCCCTGCTTCCAATGCCAGCTTCCTGCTCACGGACACCCTGGGAGGCAGCGGGCACCGACGCCAGGGCTTGGGTTCCTGCCAACCTCCATGGGAGACCCAGATCAAGTTCAGGCTCCTGGCTCTGGCCTGGCGGGGCTCTGGCTGTTGTGGGCATTGGGAGAGTGAACCATTGGATGGAAGATCTTTCTGTCTCTTTCTCTCTGTGTCTGCTTTGCAAAAAAAAATTTTTAATAACATGAATTTAAACCATTTTTAAAGAAGTGCTTAGTAACTATTTGGTGAACTGAATGAAAACATTAGCATACTGTACCTGCCCTCACCCCACCTTTTTCTTCTGGGCTCCAGTCTTTGTCACAAAATAAATGAATAAAAAATATTCCTGGGTTTATCTAGACCCAATAAAACACAGAATGTATGCCTCGTAAGTCTCATGAAAATGGAGAGTGGAGGCTTAGGACACGGCGTCCAGAGCGTGCGCAGACAGACCTGCAGGCTGAGACCTCAGACACAGCCCTGGGACTCCGCCAACCTCGCACGTGATCGAGTTACCCCGAGGTTCGGGGGGAGCCCAGGACCGGATCAGAAGTCGCCGTGGAAAGCAGAGAGCGGCCCTCAGAAAATATGCTTGGAGGGCATTCATGCCCACGGCGGGGACAGGGAGGAGCCCCAGGGCAGGGTGGGCAGCACCCCCACCCACCCAAGGCTCTGGGTGAAAACCGATCCGGGAATGCGTGATCCTCCAAAAATCTGCCGGCCCCGAAGTGCTTCGGTTACCCCTCCGACCACAGCCACATGGAGAATGAAATTAAACCCCACGGAAAGATCTGACTTTCTGAACATTATGCAATGTTTGGGTGAAAAAAAAAAAAAAAAAAACCTGGGTGTGTGGGGGGGAGGATATCAGGAAAAAAAACTCATCTTTTTCCCAGAGTTGAGCCGAGCTATTTCGGGCTTTTAATGATACATCTCACCATCCCTGCATGCGGAGCCCCGCGAGGCGCGAAGGCGGGGCTGCCCGGTTATGTAACCATTTCAAGTAGGAAATTAGCAAGTCCTGAATGAATTCTGTTACTGTGCTGCCTGCTGGAAACTTTGCAGTTCTATTTTGAGGTGAGCAAGTCCATCATTTATAGAACGCCTCACAAACACCGCAGCCTTCCGCGTCACCCCGCGGCGCTCCATAACAAAAACAGGTAAAGGGCTCGGGGCCTCGGAACATCGCGTCTCGACAAACCTTATTAGCCACCCCGGGGAGCTGCCAATCTTTCAAAAATGCAAATATCCAAGATCAAATAAATATTCATCGCCCACGCCCTCCCCTCCCTCCCCCCTTCTCTTTCTTAAACCCAGTCCAGCAAAATAGTCTGGGCAACAGCATGAAAAGAAATGTCTGTTTTTAACGGAGCCCTTGGCCATGAAATAAATTCTGGAAGCTATGAAAGCAACGTCTTGAAACTCAGGGCACTTGGGCAGGCCGGCCTGGTGCTTGTTGAAAACAGGAAACCGGGTCGTCTTGCAGTCTTCCAGGTCCCCCTAGTGGCCTGGCTGGGGACGGGGACAGCGTCGTGGCACCCGCAGTGCCAGCCCTTGAGTGAAAGCCCCACAAGCCTCCGCTCCAATGCCCCGCACCCTTTGTCCAGGGACGCCACGGCCTGGGGAAACCAGCGAATTGCGATGGCCTTTCTCACCAAGGGCCGGGGCTGACCCTCTCCGTACAGCCATGGAGCAGGAATGAGAAGGGCACGTTGCAAAGGGCCACGGAATTGACCTGCTGGACGCACACCTGCTTCCCCAACCCTCTGCAGATGAAGATAGCTGGTCAACCCACAGGGCCCCGTCCAACGAGGGTTTCCCAGCTCCGGCTCTCTGGACGTTTGGGGTCAAATCTGTCTTGAGGGCTGTGTGTATGGCTGGGGTTCAGCCCCAGCCTTGGCCTCCGCCCACTAGATATCAGGTGTACCCCAGCCCCCAGTTGTAATACCCAAAAGTGTCTCCAGATATTGCTATGTGTCCCCAAATGGACAAAACTTCAGCTGGATTGAATTCATAAAACATGATGTCTCCCGCTTCCTGCACTGCAGCTTAAAAAGTTTTTTTGTTTTTTTGTTTTTTTTTTTTTTTGCCTAAAACATGAGTGACTGCATCCCTAAATCTCCCATTCTTTGATTTAAAAGAAAAAAATAAAAGGAGTTGGCATCATGGTGCAACAGGTTAAGCCTCAGCCTGCAAGGCCAGCATCCCGTATGAGCTCTGGTTCGAGTCCCACCTGCTCCAAATCTGATCCAGCTCCCTGCTACTGCGCCTGGGAAGGCAGCAGCTGATGTCCCACGTGCTTGGGCCCCTGCACCCGCCCGGGAGACCCAGAGGAAGCTCCTGGCTCCTGGTTTTGGCCCGATCCAGCCCCAGTCATTGCACATTTGGGGAGTGAACCAGCAGACAGAAGATCTCCGTGTCCCCTCCCTTCCTGTACCTCTGCCTTTCAAGTAAAACAAATAAATCATAAAGAGCGAGAGGTTGCAAAGTCGTCAAGAAGTGTGTGGATAAACACAACACAAAGCTTTTTGACCCCCTCCCCCATCTCTACGAACCCCTTTCTGAAGTCCTGACCCCGCTACAGAACAGGAAGCGACTTGCACTGATCTGTGTCGTCTTTTCTGCAGACATCTAAAATCGCCTTCTGAACGGGAGGAAACGTGCTTCACGTTTCCTGTACTGCATGATAGGCACGACACGAGAGGGTGTGACCCCCGAGTCCTCGCCTGGACCCCGAATTCCTGTTTCCGTGCAGATTCAAACGAGCCCCAGAGGCAGAGGGAACACAAGCTTTATTGGGCACAGCAACGGGCCACGCTGGCCAACAATGAACGTGGGGACCTCGGAAACACCAGAGACCACGTGCGCGTCATCACGGGCTGAGGACTCGGGTCAGCTGGAGTTGCCGGTCCATGAGCGCTTCCCTCTGATCAGAAGCCACATCCTGGGGGCAGGGTCGCAAGGAGGATTACAGACAGACAGACAGACAGACCTGCTAAGGAGCACATCGCGGCTCCCGATGAGCCCACGGCGACAGCGCAATCAGCCACAAGCTCTTCCCAGATACCACCCCCGCCCCCGCCCCACCCCACAGACACAATATTCACCGACACGGCCCAGCCACCTTCACAGACCACACCTCCAACCCTGCCGGCAGACGGCACAGGTGCACAGGTGCCTGCCGGGCTTTGCAGTGAGCGAGCGAGCGAGCGAGCGAGCGAGGCGTGGGCGCTCCAGGCAAGGAAGAGCAGTGCACGCTCAGTTCCACTCCACACGGAACGCGGGCTTCCCCCCCACGAAGGAATGGCTGTAATGAATGGAAATATTCAGAGTATATGTAAACAACAAAAAGCTGTACATCAAAAGAAAGGGGCAGAAATCAAACCTGTTGTACTTACAAAGCTTCTTGTGTATTTTTAAAACAAAAACAGACCTGGGAGTACAGGAATTTTAATGCAATAAAAACCAAGTATTTCTTAAAAAAGAAAAAAAAAAAACCTCCAGATCCTTCAAAAAGTTTGGGGAAAATGAAATTGAAATATGAATTTATTTTGGTGCAAAAAAGGGTAAAAATCTATGCAAGTTTTTTCATCATATGCATTTTTCATGATCTTTTTCAAATCTTCATATGCATGCATTTCAACCTTGTTTGATGCACCAAACGAAGCTTCTCGTTTAATTCCAGGCCCCACGGACGTGCTGAAGCACACACACACTTCAAACACACAAAAGGGTTCCAGAGTAAAACAGCCGACAGATGTTTGGTTGAAACAGGATGGAGCAGAGGCTGCCTGTGGCTCATTCGCCATCCCCCGGGGATTTCAAATGCTGCCTGCAGAGCTAAGAGCACCTGCCCATGTGCACCCCACAAAAACAAGTATCAAGACAAAAGTCTGCAGAAAAAAACAACAGGCACTAACGTGTCGATTTCCAGTGAGCACACAACGGAAAAACACATCAGGGCACAGTGAGTTAAGCCACTGCTTCTGACGCCAGCGTCCCACACTGCAGTGTCCGTTGGAGTCCCAGTTGCTCTGTTTCCGATCCAGCTCCCTGCTCATGCGCCTGGGAAAGCAGCGGAGGATGGGCTGAGTTCTAGACAGCCCTAGAGGGCTCTGGTCCCCAGGAGGAGGCCTGGAAGAAGCCCCTGGCTTCAGCCTGGCCCAGCCCTGGCTGCTGTGGCCATTTGGGGAGTGACCCAGCAGAGGAAGACCTCTCTCTCTCCCTCCCTCTCTCTGACACTCTGCCTTTCAAATAAATAAATGAATAAATCTTAAAAAAAAAAAAAAGTATCATCAGTACATCCGAAATGTTCAGCAGTGAAGGAAGTGAAGAAATGTTGGAGAAGAGCTGACGCCACAGAAGATGACGGCTCGCTCGCCTGGGCCTGGGACACGGCTACTTCAAGTTCATGGCCACACGGCATTCAAATTTACTTTGGCGCAAAAACAAGTTTTAAAATCCATGCATGGACTTTTCACAATGTGCTTTTTTCCCATGAACTTTCTAAAGACCCCTGTGATCTGCTGGAAACACCTGTAAGTCTCCGCCGAGCATCCCCCATGACCCTCCTGCGTCGGTGCCAGCGCCAGGCTCAGGGCTGGCTAATTCAGAGCAGAACGGCTCTTTCACGGGCTGACCTCCAAGGACACAGAAAACACTGAGCACGGCGCTCTCTGCTGCCTTTGAAACAACCCACTTAGGAGCGCTCAGGGAAGGAGGCAGAATCGCTCACCCTCTCTGCAGCTCTGGACAAAGACCCCATTCCTAAGCCACCAGCCGCTCAGGCCGAATCAGGGAGAACGCTCCGTGACGGCAGAATCTTACAACACCAGGGCCTTCAAAAGGTTCATGGAAAAACAGACTTAGAAGTTTATTTTGGTGCAAAGAAATTTCAAAATGGGCATTTTCCACGAACTTTTCAAAGACCACTTGTGGATATGTTATCCATAGCCGATTTCGCGGCACCTGCCACCTGCTGTTACTTTGGGAGGATTTTAACAGGGCAACGCAAAACCCGAGAGCATACCGGGAGCGTTCCAAAAGCAAGGTGCTCTCCAGGAGCGAGTCTCAGCGTCCGGACCTGAAGGTGACGCATTCATACGGCATTAACCGCACGTCCGAGACATCGGCCGCACTCAGCCCTTAAGACCCAGCGACTGAACCCTCCACGGCGTGCACACGTGGCGTCGGCAAGAAAGCCCAAGCATGCCTCGCCCTGCCACGTCCAGTGCTTGCAAACTCCCTCCCTCTGACAGCAGCAGCTGCAGCTACAGAAAACACACACGCACGCATGCAGGCCACCCGGCCACCGGCTGCCTTTCGGCGAGTTCCCCTGAAAGCCGCAGGCAGTGGAAGAGATGCGGGGCCCGCGGCTGCAGCCTGGGCCCTCCGCCCCGGGCTCCTTGCTTTCACCGTGAGTGGCAGCAGGGCAAGACGCCTCCGCCTCTGTCCGTCCACCCTCAATAATCCCCCTAACAGGAAACAGATTTCGGTGCAGGAGGAGCCCCCGCCCCCTGACCTTTCCGCCTCGCGCTCAGCGGATCTGAGTCACATCTGCCGCGTTGTCTAAAGAATTAGCCGAGTCTCTTATCGCGCTGTCGACACATTTCGGGGCGCTCAGTGCCCGTTTCCTGCCGAAGACGTCGGGGCTGTCCTCGGAGAGCCACTGGCTCTGTCCTTGTCCCAGCAAAGCACCGTCACGCCTCGGAGGTCCTTTTACGAGGTGGCAGGGAAGTGCTGCTGGCTGCGAGGCCGGCTGGGGCTCCCGCCCCTCTGCTCCACTTGTCGAGCTCCCGGGAACGCGCGCGGCTGTGGGGCGGGAGGCTGCCCCGGGCGGCCGCTCGGCCTCTCCACGCGGACACGGCTGTGCGCGTCGCTTCGCACCAGGCCGCACTGTTTTTGTTTCTCCCCAAACCTATGCCAAGAGCTTTCTATTTTTCAGACACCACTTTTTAAGAGAAAAACTTAAAAGAATACCTACACATTAGGCTGTTTAAAAAAAAATCAGAACACAAGCTTTCTACAACCTCCAACTAGACAGAAACTTTGATCACACGATGACGAAATTCAAGTCATAACGAAGCCTGCACAGGGACCACCTCGGTCTCAGCTGAGCCCCTGCGGTGGCCCATTCACATTCGCTCGCCTCGGGACCGGGATGCGGGGGCCCTCTTTGGAACCTCCCTCCGTCTGGGCGGTGCCAGGCCCCCGTCGGGCAGAGCCTCGGCACACCAAGAACCGCACGTGTCAGCAGTTACTGCAGAATCCACAATGGTGGTTAACAGAGATGGAACTCGCACTCAGGCCGTCAGGAAAGCGCAGAGCCCGGGGCCCCTCGGCCGGCGCACGGCCTAGGACGTGAGCTTCGAGTAGCTGGGCGGGGAGAAGCGCCTTCGCAGGTACTTGAGCACGTAGAGCGGCAGACAGCTGACCAGCGTGATGACCGACACCTTCCACAGGAATGACAGCGTGGCGATGAAGTACACGTCTGCAACCAAACAGGCCCCGCGTCAGCAGGCTGCCGGGGCCCGCAGGCGCAGCCACCATGGCGGGCCCGGGTCCCTACGCTCAGGCTCGGGCGTCACTCGCTCTCTGCGGTTAGACAGGCCGCGGCTCACAGCCAGGCTGCCGCTGGGTTGCCCTCACATGCTCCTTCCCTCTCTGCCTGCTGATGCACACAAGGAAATGCTGCTTGCACCAACCGGGAAGAGACTGCGGCAGGGCACGCACGGCGGGTGACCGTGGGGGCGGGGCGGGCAGGAGTACCGGTGTCTGGGATTGGGAATCTGACCATCACAATCTCTCTTGTTCTACACTCCTGCCAGGGGGCGAATGCAAAGGCCAGCCTCCTAGCAGCTCTCCCTCCGTCTCAGGAAGCCAGGAGCCAGGTCTGAGGCCGGGGCAAGGGGGCTGAGGGGGCCTTGACCTGAGCCAGGGCACACGGTTTTCTGCCACAGAGGGCGAGCCGTGGAGTACCCAGGCGTTCTCAGGACTGGGGGGTGGGGGGGAGAGGGACTTGTGGTTTGCAAGCCAGCAGGGGCCGGGGTTTGAGAGGGGATGTGGAAATGCACCTGCCGTTTAGTAAGCACCTGCTAAGCACTGGGCCCAAGGCTCAGGCCCGTGCACTTTCCCCACGTGCCCCCCACCAGCGCTGCCCCAGGCAACTTCTCTGTGCCCCGCTCCGGCCCAGGCCCTGGAGCACATAGTAGGTGCTTGCTGAGCCTCGCTGGGGAGCCTGGGGATGGGCGGGAACATAGTGCGGGGCCGCCTCCCACCGGAGCGCTGCCTTCCCTCTACCGAGGCTTCACGAGACCTTGGGAGCTGGAATGAGGGCTACGGGCAGAGCCACTGCCCCGCGAGGCGCCTTCTCAGCACCCGGAGCCGCTGCCATGGGAGGTGCCTTCTCAGCACCCCGGAGACGCTGCCCCGCGAGGCGCCTTCTCAGCACCCCGGAGGCTCCTAGCCCTTCACTCCCCCATCCACCTCCTCCGTGACACCTTAGAGTTCCTTCTTTCTTTTTTATTTATTTGAAAAGCAAAGTGACACAGAAAGAGAGGAAGAGAGAGACAGAAGGAAGTCTTCCATCCGCTGGGTCACCCCCAAATGCCCACAGCACCTGGGGCTGGACCAGGGCACAGCCAGGAACCTGGAAGTCCATCCGGGTCTCCCACAGGGGTGGTGCAGACTCAAGTCTTTGAGCCGCCATCACTCGCTGCCTCCCAGGCTGCACACGAGCAGGAAGGCGGCTGCAAGCAGAGGAGCTGGGACCTGAGCCAGGCGCTCTGGGGGATGCTGGCATCTCACGAGGAGGCCATACGCTGCCCACCCCGTGACATGCTGGTGCCCGGGTGCCCTACGTGTCTGCGTGTGACACTGCATACGTCATACCTGGAGAGAACAGGATACTCACACCCCAACCAAGACCCATTCTGGCTCCCTTGGTGGCAGGAGCCACTCACCCCCACGGCAAAGCAGCAGGGTCCAGCCACGAAGGCTACACCACAGCCCTGCCCGAGAACCCACGGCTCCCCAGGGGAGCTGGTGGCTGGGGAACGGCTCCCCACAGTGGGGGGAGGGGTCCACCTGTAATCTGAGCACCGCTGAGCCCCCTGACAGCCTGGGAGCCAAGCACCCCCCCTCGGCTAATGCAGCTGAACCGGAACTGCTTCCGTGGGGTGGGGTGGGGGGGACGAAGCTTTGCTAAAGCGAACAGGGCTCTCTGCTGCCTCCCCGCCTGGAAACGTCTGTGCTCAGAGAAGCCCGAGTTTGCCCTGGGCTGGGACCCAGAGTCCTGCAAGACACTCACACGCTGGGCGCTTGGGCAGCCGGGCACCAACGGGAACTGGGGCTCGCAGCAGTAGCAGGGGGTCGGCACTCAGGGGTGGGGGTCAGCAGAGAGCGATGTGGCCACGCCCAAGTGAGGGGTCCCCCGGAGGAGAACAGCCAGGCTCAGCAGGCCCAGCTGTGGGCAGAGGAACGAGAGCCCCTCCCCCTCTCCTTTTCCTCTGGCCGGGTGGGGGTGGGGCCTGGAGCAGCAGACTTTATCCTGAGAGGTACAGGGTGCCTAGGAGGAGCCGGGTCAGCAGCAGCCAGAGGCAGCCTGGCAGGCAGGGTGCTTCGCCACGGCCTGTGCATCCCCCCGCTGTCTCGACTGCACGCTGGCGACCACCTCCTGAACAGAGCGGTCGGCAGTGTGACGGAGCAGCCGACCAGGCTACGGCCAGCTCCGCTGAGTTTCTGGGGCTCTGTTTTAGGTCCCCCTGCAGGACCGCTCCAGGCTCCTGGCTCCGGCCTGGCCCAGCCCTGGGCCGCTGCAGCTGTTTAGGGAGTGACCCAGCAGACGGAAATCCATCTCTCTCTCTCTATCTCTGTCTCTCTCTCTCTGCCCGTCACTGCCTTTCAAATAAATAAAATAAATCCTGGAATGTTTTGAGTTATGAACTCTTCCTAGCCCCCATCAGCCTGAGGCGGGGGATGGGACCCCGACCCCACACGCGCTCTGCTGCAGAGGCCGGGGGCGTCACATGCGTTTCCCACTTAGGACATTCTGGGTCACGGCGGGTCTAGGGGACACAGGCCCACCTCAGGCCGAGGGGCATCTGCTGGGACCACGCCTGCCACCCTCAGCCCTCTGTACTGCCCGGGGACCACGGTAAGGAGGTGGGGGTAGGCCGGCACTGCAGCACAGGGAGCTAAGTGCCACCTGCAACACTGGCATCCCGCATCTGAGCACGAGTTCGAGTCCTCGCTGCTCCACTTCTGGTCCAGCTCCCCGCTAATGCGCCTGGGAAAGCAGCAGAGCACGGCCCAGGTGCTTAGACCCTGCATCCACACAGAGGACCCCGATGGCGCTCCTGGCCCCTGGCTTCGGCCTGGCCCAGCCTTGGCTGTTGTGACCAGGTGGGAAGTGAACCAGCGGATGGAAGACCTGTGTCTCTGTTGCTCTGCTTTTCAGAGCAATAAATAAAACTCCTAACAGAGAAAGAAAACGGGGGCGTTCAGTGCCCAAGACCGCTGGACAGGAGCCCGGGCGCGAGCGTCGGGGAGGCTGCCTTCCCGCCCAGGGGCGGGGCTTCCACGCAGGGCCTTACCGATGAACTCATGGAGGAACACGAGGGAGGCGATGTAGCAGGCCAGGCTGAGCAGCTCGGCCACCGTCATGAGCCAGTGCCAGGTCTGGATGGTGAGCGCCACCATGAGCAGCTCGGTGAGGATGAGCGAGGTGAAGGAGATGGCCACGATGTGCACGAACTCCGACTCGAACAGCAACAGCGCCCCATACATGATGGTGCTCCCTGCGGATGCAGGGAGGCGTGACCCGCGGCCGCGCCACCGCAGCCCGCACGGACACACGAGGGCCACCGCTCATCACCGGCGAGCCGCACGTGATGGCGGGGGGAGGCCTGGGTCTGACCTCCCGGGAGAGTTGATGACAGGCAAGGGGGAGGGGAGAAGACATTAAGGAGGCAGGGGCGGGGCTGACTGGCAGGTGTGGATGGGAGAAATCGACACGTAACCGTCACTGAAAACGTGACAGACGGCCAGTCACCAGGGAGGCCTTGGAAGCAGGTGAATCCCTGGAGGCCGGAGTGGAAGCGGCTGCTGGGGGCGGGGAGGGCACCGGGTGTGGAATTCTGGGTGCGCAGGGTGAGCAGCACGGGTGCAGGTGACCACACTGCTGCCAGACGCTTCACAGCGGCCACACGGTGGACACACCTGTGCCGGGAGTGGAGGGGGCGTGGACGGAGCCCACCACGCCCCTGCGTCATGGGGCCGAGCTGAGAATGGCTCGTGGGAGCCAGGGGCACAGCAGCCCAAGGAGGCACTTAGGGGAGCACCCGGGGCCCTGTTAGGGTGACAGCCACCTTTCAGAAGAGGGTTGGGGAGGGGCTGCGGGGACCACTATGGTCAACTGCTGTCCACCTGCAAGCAGGGGCTGCATTTTTTAACCAGATGCCTGCAACACACTTTGATAGACTTCTTAAAAACACCAACAAAAAAATATTGGTGACAATTTAACTTCCGCCAATAAATTCAACGCTCCCTCAACTTTTTAGACACAAAGCCCATCAGTGAATAGCATTAGGAATGACGCCAAGTCCAGGTTTAGTTGCAAATTACATATGTGCACCTGTCTGGAGATGCAGAGATGTGCCAACGCGCACATTATGAAACGGGCATAGAAACAGAAATATTGCACAGAGTGAGGAAAAATAAACACGGTCGCTCTGGCAGCAAGCCAGATCAGGTCACCTGACACATCACCTCGGTGGAGCCCACCGCGCGACCTCACTCGGGGACAGCCCGGAGACGCCCCGGGAGCCACCCCTCTTGCTCCACGGATTCCACAGGTTTCAGTTAGGCCAGGATGAGGAGCCCTGACCCCAAACGCTCGGGACCGGAAGTGCTCTCCACCTGTGACTTTTCCAGACTTGGGAGATGATGAGATGCCGTGGGGACAGGACCCAATGCCAAACCCGAAATCCACTTAGGTTTCCCAGCCCTCCTCCCCGCCATGCACGCACACACACTGACGGCGACTTCAGACCGAAGCCTAGCTCGCCTGTGTCTTGGCGGCAGCCTGGCCCGTGAGGCCAGGTGCACAGTGTCCCACTGTGCCATCCCAGTGCGGCTCGGGTTCGGATTTCTGGCGTCAGAGTTTAGATTTGTGGGACAGGGATGCCCAGTGTGCGTCAGCTACCCTCACTAAGTGGACAGCATCCCTGCCTGAGTCCCTGCTTCTGCGGGACACCGGGACACGCTGCCACCCTCCTGATGCTGGGGCCCACTCCAGGTTCCTTGGCTCACGGGCTCTGGGGGAAGGGACGCCCACGATGGCAGGTGGCTTCGCCCGTCCTTACCTTGATAGATGCTGATCAGAACCCAGATTAAGAAAGTCTTGTAAGACAGCGGCCGCCCCTAAACGAGACACAGAGGAGCAGAGCAGGTGACCGTGTGCCACTTACGGGGTCCACGGCCACCTTCCTGTCCCCGGCCCGCTGACTGCGCGAGGCAGCTACTTGCCCTGACCCCCGTGGTGGCGCACACGCGTGACTACGCCGTGGAAACTAGGGGTACTGTTTTTGAAGGGAACTGCCATTAGATGGGAATAAATCTGCCCTCGAATAAAATAAGCAGTAACAGAGAACAGTGTAGGAGCAGATGTAAGCGGCAGCCGCAAGGCGGGACTGGACTCTCGGGGGCTTTAAAGAGCCGTCCCTCGGCTGCTTCCCGCTCACGTGACAGCAGTTTGATGCTCTACGTGTGCATGTATTGTGGTTTTAACTCAGGACACGGGGCCTGGCGCTGTTGTGCAGCAGGTTAACCAAACACTTGCAACGCCAGCATCCCGTGTGAGCACTGGTTCGCATCCCGGCTGTTCCACTTCCCATCCAGCTTCCTGCTAGTGGCCTGGGAAAAGCCATGGAAGG